ATGGATTACCAGCAATACCTAGTACTTAAATAACAAGATGGAGTAATAGCAATACTCGGTACATAGATAACAAGAAGGAGTACCATCAACACCCAGATGTAGATAACAATATCGAGTAGCATCTATTCAGTACATACATAACAACATAAAATACCAGCAATACCCAGTATATAGCTCAGCAGATGGAGTACCATCCATACTCAGAACATAGATAACAGGATGGAGTATCATCAACACTCAGACGTGGATATAAAGGATATAAAGTACATAGACATCAAGATGGATAACAACAGTACTCAATACATAGATAACAAGATGGGGTATCAGCACAACCTAGTACATAGATAACAAGATGGAGTACCAGCAATACCTAGTACATAGATAACAAGATGGAGTACCAGCAATACTCAGTACATAGATAACAAGATGAAGTACTGTCAATGCCCAGTACATAGATAAGAAGATGGAGTATCAGCAATACCTAGTACATAGATAACAAGATGGATACCAACAATATTCAGTACATAGATAACAAGATGGAGTATCAGCAATACCCAGTACATAGATAACAAGGTGGATTATCAGCAATATCCAGTACATAGATAACAAGATGGAGTACTATCGATACTCAGTACATAGATAACAAGATGGAGTATCAGCAATACCCAGTACATAGATAACAAGATGGATTATCAGCAATACCCAGTACATAGATAACAAGATGGAGTACTGTCAATGTCCAGTACGTAGATAACAAGATGAAGTACTATCGATACTCAGTACATAGATAACAAGATGGAGTATCAGCAATACCTAGTACATAGATAACAAGATGGAGTACCAGCTATACCCAGTACATAGATAACAAGATGGGGTACTTTCAATACCCAGTACATAGATAACAAGATGGAGTACCAGCAATACCTAGTACATAGATATCAAGATGGAGTGCCAGCAATACTCAATACATAGATACCAAGATGGAGTACCAGCATTACCCAGTACATAGATAACAAGATGGAGTACCATCAACACCCAGAACATAGATAGCAAGATCGAGTACCAGCAATACTCAGTACATAGCTAAAAAGATGGAGTACCATCCACACCTAGTATATAGATAACAAGATGGAATACCAGCAATACTCAACACATAGATAGCAAGATGGAGTACCATCAACACCTACTACATAGATAAGAAGATGGATACCAGCAATACTCAGTACTTAGTTTACAAGATGGAGTACCATCAATACTCAGTACGTAGATAACAAGATGGAGTACTATCAATACTCAGAACACAGATAACAAGATGGCGCACTCACAATAAGCAGTATGTAAACGTCCAGATGAAGCACCCTCAACAGTAATAAACTGATAAACAGGTACATTACAGTCATCAGATATTGAATTTACCAGCATCTAAGTTACACTCAATACATAGTATACGTATCAACAGATAGATTTCACCAAGTATACTACAAATATTACCTTTATTAAGTAGTATATTGTTAATCATGTAATTTGTAATGGATAATTATCCTGATCACCAGGTGGTGAACCTCAATATGTAGTATATAGATCAACGAATAGATTTAATTCAATACATGGCAGGCTGACCAGTAGACTACACTCAGCACGTAATATATAGTCACCAGGTACAGTAAAGTTAGTACCTTCAGTTTGTAGTATAATGTTAATCAGATACACAAACACCAAAACATACATCGATCAACAGGTAAATAACTCTCAATACGTAATGTATTGTGTACCAGGTTCAGTGAAATGAATATCTATACTATCAGGCAGATAATACTCAATCCGTATCAAAGTGTTTAACAGGTAAAACACAACCTTTATTTATATTAATTTGCAAGAAGATAACCTTCGGCACGGTATCTTTATCGATCATTCGGTAGATTACCATCAGTACGTAGTAGCTATGTTCCGCCTGGCAAAAACAGAGTAAAAGTTTGCTTACATGAACTATACGTTGATAAAGAATTAATATCTTTGTTAAGCAGCTTACTGACGTAAGTCTAAACTGTTGCTAGATGACTTATGTATGATCAATATTACAGAACAGATGTAGCATTAAGGGTTAACAGATAGGAAAGTATCAGAGTCGAAGTTATTGATCTGATACAGAATACAGATACGCTTTCCATAAATGACTAGAAACCAATAAGGAATTAAGAGGCGTACTTTCTACATTCAAAATTGATTTTAAAAAAAAAATCATGATATAGATCTAGGCATTTTCTCTTGAGATGTTCAGCGAATGCTTACATCTATTTTGTTTTAATTGCAGGACAGATCCCTCCGTCTGACACCGCCTTGCACGAATACCACGGACATGGTTTACAGTTTTGGAAGTCGTAGGATTTTATTATTTAGTCTGAAAAAGAGATATCCATGGCGCCAATAGGCTGTTATGTGATGAATTCTACTCCCTATTCTACGATTTCCCCTATGGCGCAACATACAACGCAAAGATTATGTTTACGAGAGCCAATATGAACTTGTGAATAATAATGTAATTTTAATTGTGATGAATTGTGAACCTATTTTAGGACTATTGACTCTGAACCAGTACAGCTTCAATGTACATATATGGATGTAACTACGTAAGTCTACAGTAAGATTAATTGTAAATCATTTTCAGTGAATACCGAAAGATGCATCTTTATAAGCATATCATACAACACTAATGAAATAAAGTGCTTTGAAAAATGTGTGATGAGTCATTTATAAAAAAGACTAGACTTGCGCAATACAAATACATCATGAAAGAGTTGTTTATACTGAGATTATATGAACAAAGGACACCTGGCTTGACAACATATCTCAATTTTTGGTGTTCCATTTGGAAAAGAAGCAAAAAGTAAAGAGAGCATTATGCCGCAAGTGTTAAAGAGGATTGTTTCTTGAAAAGGGGCAATGGATTAAAATTTCAAAGTAAGTCTAATTTATGTTATAAATCAGTCTATTTTGCCGACGAAACCATATATACATTCATTTTGTGATATAATTAAAATATTACGGAATCTGTAATTTAGGATACATACGCTCACCTGCCCGATTCAGTTACGAAGATATTCTACCACTCACGCCAATGTCAGTTGATATGATCCGTCGTGTGCCGTCATGCTTGTCAACCTTCTAAACAAAACAAATCATATGAGACGTTCTCGAAGTTATAAACAGAAAACTTATCGCTTTCTATATGTCATTATTTGCATCTCAGCTACAAAGGTATCTACAACTTGAATTGGTAATGCTAAGCTTACCAATGAAATCCTACACTGGTGTTAGTAATTTAGTCAATGAAAATAAAAAAAAAAAAAAAAAATAAGAAAAAAGAAAAGGTTATGATGTCCATCTTATCATAATCCAAGCTGAAATTCATTCAACTAGATTTACACAGCGATTTCTTAAAAATATAAGGTAAATAAGACCAGATGATCCGGGAGAGTAGGCGTCTTCTGCTTCATCACCATGTACATTCAGGTCAAACACATTCTCATATCAGAACAAGGTATACCACAACGGAACCAAACATGGAAACTAACGAGTGTCAAACACGTCCGACTTCATATCGTACAAAGATAAGGAATATTTCTGTATAATATCAATATGACGTTCATATAGTTTTTATCAACTTGCATCATTTGAAACCATGTGTTACGAGTTTGTCCGTCAGTTGACGACTTCTTGCACAAAAATAAAAAAATAAGTGATAAATGGAACAAGCCGTTGAATATCGATTTGACTTCGACAAGTAAGCACAATAAGTCGGGAATGCAGGTACGTTACTATCCCTAGATGGAAAATTTACACAAGGGAAATCTGTCCATGTTGGTTTCGTGGTAGGAAATGATAGAGATAATCGGTTAATGATTCTTGGCATCTTATGACAATCACTACGCTAAAACGATATTGACATATTGACGAAAAGAACATTCTCAGCTGTTCAGTAAGAGTAATGATCTTCTGTTACACGGAAGACATCGACAATATTACCCTTGTCAATCCAAGTAAACGAAGTTAAGTTTTCGCTAATTGAGAATCGCGTTTTTAACCACAACCAAAACCATCAGCAGAGATCCTCATGACAACCATAAAACATCTCTATGATCTTCGTCAGCATGCATTTCGGAACCCTGTGTTGTAAGTGCATTAGACCATCAGAATCTTTAGATAAGATAAAATATCAGGAAGTGTCGAAACGTTTCTGTTTGCTTATTATCCAGTTGTTTTATATTGATTAATATTTAATTATATTCAAATCAAATGTATCTGCAAATAAACTGTCTATATATAATGATTACAGATTCACGTGGGTATTTTGATAATAACAAATAACATCTTAATCCATTTCATTAATCTACAGTGTACATGGCTTCAAGCAAACAATAGCAATTTGACACACACACACACACACACACACACACACACACACACACACACACACACACACACACACACACACACACACACACACACACACACACACACACACACACACACACACACACACACACACACACACACACACACACACACACACACACACACACACAAACAAACACATACACACATATATATACATATATTGCCCTACAAAGCTGTTAATTAAACAGCTAGGTCAGAAAAAATATAGAGTAATATAAAAACAATACGAATTCACAACACATGAAATACAAGAGGAAGACTCCAAAATAGATAGAAAATCATCCCAATGGTGACATTAGTTTGAGAGGATAATTATCAAGATGTATTCTTCATCACATCAGACTGAAGCATACGAGATGCAACCTTGCAACCCCATTATATAAGGATCATAAGAAACTAGCTGAAGATGTGGTCTAGGTATTTATGTACAAGGAATACTCGTGGTAGTGTATATTTCATGCTGTGGTATTACTTAAAGACAGTCACAGCAAAACTAGAGCGAGAATTTTTTTATACGGAGATGCTGTTAGTATTCTTACAAACTCGAGTCCTATTATTTGGCAATTTGTGCTCGTGGTAAATGGTTAATTATCAGAATTCTTAAGATAGCAACGTTCACTTTGTTCAGTTGACTTTGCCAGAACCGCTAACCAAAATTTTCATCTGTGGAGAAAGCTGAACAACTGGTAAATCATTGATATCTTTACCAATAGCTTTATATAGTTATGGTGGTTAATTTGGTTAACCACAACCACTTAAACATGGTGAGATAGTTGCAAAACACTTGAGATAACATTTAACCTTTACCTCAATGTGCAATCGTACCAACGAGAACAGATCTGAATGGACAGCAGCAGGAACGAGGTAACATACATCTAATACGCAATAATTACTATCACTTAGAATGTGGTTTTAAAGATTATTCATCATCAATTCAGATATTAATAATATTTTTTTAACATGCAGAATATTTTATAACGATTTATGTATATCTAGAGCAATACCGTGTCAGTAAGATTTATAGGGCGTTAATGTTCACAACACACCTTAATGTTAACTTTAAAATTTCGAAATGTAAGCCGTAATACATCTTAACGCTAATAATAACTCAATATTTTGGGCTATAATATACTACTATAACTGCTACCTGTAACGTGCCTAAATGACCGGCAGGAAACCAAAAATGTTTTTTTATAGCAATTTATTGCATATCATTACAATTGTGGTATATGTGAGAAATATAGGAGGGAGAAACTATTGTTGTTATCAGGAAAGGCAGAACCGGTAGTTGCCTGGCTCTACAGATCTAATTCTGAATTATAAATGGTACTATTCACTTATACGAATAAAGATAATAATATATTTCTCGAGTTAGACAAATAAAGATGTATTTTACAATCCAGGTAGAATAATAATATATATTCACGAGTTAGATAGAATAAAGATATATTTCATGATTGAGATAGAATAAAGATTTGTTTTACGACTAAAACAGAATAAAGACATGTTTCACGAGTAAGAGAGAATAAAAGACATATTTCACGTGTGAGGCAAAATAAAGATATATTTCACCAACGTGATTTTCTACCAGATGGATGAAATGTATATGACATTCAAAGAAAAAACATACGTCTATCTATCCAGGAAATAACAAAAACAATGCCTGTTCCGCTCTCTTTCACATAACATTATAATCCCGCCACATCGCAATGCCCTGTGGGTCAATAACTCACGTATTTCGGCTTTGCAAAATGGTTGCTCCAAAACCATAGCGATATGGAATTGATGTTCAGACTACACACTTTGTTTCTGCATAAATCTTAAAGTATCGTGAATTATATGGCATGTTTATATTCCAAGTTTCTATGCAAAATTTGTCGGTAATCTACATACAACATAAATATTTGGTATAATTAATGTTTGAAAATCAATCTAATCAAAATTTGCCAAAAATACAACGAATGTCTATGATGCTAGACAATTGCTTGTAGTGTAGAATTGAAGTTCTTAAATCACAACCAGTCAGGAATTCGTGTGTGACGTTTCGGTGAATACGCTGTCACATTCATTTTCATTTTCACTGCTGATCTTTTGTCTGAAGAGCGTGACTTTAATCAGCAAAACACCACACGTCAATTTCTTACTGCTTTGATGAATTTCAGTCATAAAAATACTAACCAACCTGAAAAAAATCGTTCACGTATACAGCATATTAATGAATTTACATTGCATCATTCAATTTCATTTTCAGATCTATGATGACATCTTGTCTTTAAACAACAAGAAATTCATTGACCACGCCCATCGTATATACCCAACAGAAATGAAAGTCAGTGACATAATGGACAACTTTCGTCGAAGCTGTACGATAAACGTGATGATTTCGATTTCCCTATTGTGAATTATCCATTTTTGGATAGCAGCATAACTGCTTCCTCCAATGATGGTGTTAACATGAAACAGTTGATTCGATATTGAAGGGCCTTTTCCTAAAATAATCATTTTTGTTCAAGATGTCGACAACTGACAAACTAACCATAAAGAGTTTCAATCGATGCAGTTTGATGAAAATTATTGGGAAGTTTTATAGTCATGATAGTGATTTCATTGACATTTTTTTTCTCTGTATGTTATGAAACTGGACGTGTTTGATACCAATTAGGTTGATTTATGGTTCTGTTTTCATTTAGAAACCTGACATTATTTATTTGGATTAATCTAGGTTTACCTGGCACGGGTGACTGAATTTGTGTTTGGATTACGTCTATATCGACATGTTGGTATTTTCTTTGTTTTTGTTAAAAAAAATAACAATAAGAAATTAAACAACTCACCCCAGTTTAAGATATTTGGAAACATATAGTATTGCATTGCTGATAAACCGATTTAAGTATATTAGCATTGGGAGAAAATAGATCGATAAACATACTTGGTTACGGATGAGGGGAAAACATCGAAAAACGCAAATTGGAAACACAGTCTTTAGCAAAAGCAATAAATCTTAGATGTTTTACCCCTAGCATCATCATAAATACATTTTGGGGGGAAAATAGGGTGGCTGGTCGGGGAAGAATACAGAAGACAAAAATTAATACAGTTTGAGCGTTGTTATAGCAACAATATATATATATATATATATTAGATTATACCCATAACATGAACAAATAACAATATAGAAAACAAAACCAGGGTTGAGAAACACAGAAAACTGCTAAAACACAAAATGAAAACACAATTTGTACGTTCTCACATCAAAAACGATAAATTCTGGATGCTGTACACATAACAATCATCTTTGCATATTTAAGAGAATTTCCTTTTTAATTCATCTGGATTATGAGTTTGGAATATTTGAAACCTCGGCTAAAATACACCATCATTCGTTATCATTTGCATTATTTCAATATGCTCTCTTATGATGTACTATCACTCAGTGAAATGTTGCGTCTTATATTCGGGATTGCATCAACACAATGATGGTATGACGTAATGTTGCTATATGTAGAAACACATTGACATAAAGAAGACAGGGCTAGAGACAGTTGATGACGTAAGCAGTCTGAGAAGCTAGAACAGAAGCACGTGCAGCACCACTGTGTGTGATTGCAGCGACCTCTGGAGGTACCGATACTACTGCGATTGAATCATTATTGAACACAATATCTGAAATAGGAGGTCTATTACACATATAGAATCAAATAGTGATTATAGAAAAGGAGTTTATTCTTTAATAGTAATTAGGATGTATCATCTGTATGAAATATATTTGTTCTTTTACGTGTATGGTTCTTGACCAGTATAAAAGACTGTAAACATAAACTCTAAATAACACTGGTTCTAAAATATAAGCAATCTTGAAAACTTGTCTCAGTTACATTTCCGACGTGGTTGTTATACCTAAGACGTAACGAATAAGAAAGTAGTAGGTCTTTTGAATGAATACGATGCATATATCGGTGTTTTTTCTTCCTTTTTAATGACGATCATATGAACTGATGTCTACCTACAAAATATTATTTTTATTACTATAAAGATTAAGCTTTTATACTGAACCAATGAAACAGATATTTTTCCAGTCATAACCATTCCTTATTGCAATTCATTGTTGAGAACAATATCACACAATATGTTGTCATAATCTGAAAATGATCCTTATGGCTTATTTGGTGATGATATGTCTACAAAACAAGTATGCTACTAAATTCCTATACTGTAAGAACCGCATGTTGAAATACGTTTCGGTTTTATCAAACAAGAATACATGTGTTACAAAGTGATGGTATCTTTAAGTAAAGATATCCAAGCATGGCAAAAGGCAGATTTGGGTATGCAGATGTTTCTAAGATTTCTATTGTGCATCAATACTTTTCATAAGTACACAAGTATAAATGTATTTTGAACATGTCGTTTTTTAAAAACAATTTTGCTTTGCAAATAGTATTTTCTCGCAAAAAAAACCTATCGAAAACAGATAATATACAAGCACGTTATTATCATATCAGATAAAAGTGATTCATTATAAAAATGTTGTCATCTAATATCGAGGATATGAATGACAAACTGATATAATCAGGTGACATTAGATTTGTTCTAACCGAAACACATAATTGTCAAAACGTTTTAAAAAAAGAAAATTATGATAATCATCTCTGATAATCTTGATACCATTTGGTTTTGACATTTCAGACCCAATGTGTATTGTGGACTAGACATGGCAGCTATCACCTATCTGAACTTACATAATCACCAGTCGCGATAGTTTCAATTCTGTTCAAGCGTTTATAAATTGAAATTGGTTTTGTAATGTAAGGTATATTTATTTTTGCAATAATTTTCGTTTTGATACTTATTAAAAATAGCATTTATATTTTGAAAGCTTATATTATATCTAATCGCAGTCCGAAATCATTATAACACTTAAATCTTTAATACTTTAGGTCGCAAGTAATTATTTATGGGTTTTAAGAAATACTAAAGAAATATTCTAATCGCTTTAACATGAGATATAACAGTAGATACATTTATTTTACAGACTATAGACAAAATGTATGTTGTATTTATTTCGACAATAAGCAGTATATTATTATTATAAAGTGCTAATCACTTGTGTGTCTGTTGTATAATCTTGGGAGTCACTTACACATATTTTCATGATTGCTGCCAAAATTTACTTTACAGACATAACCACTTTGATTTCACGACTATTTTACATTCTATCTGTCGCATTCCATATGATGTCCTGATGCTAGTTTTGAACACATTGGTTAATTTTTGATGACATGTATTGTTGTAGTAAAAATATAACCATGCTTACTATGTATCAAAAAATGGAATATACCACAAGGTTGCCTTTCATTTTTTTTTGCTTTTTTTTAAATGTAACGTTGCGTTGTACACATCAATAACAGATATATTATTAAAGATTGTTTGAGTATTGCATGAAGCATAGATTATTGTGTACATTTTTTGAAGATCTGTCAATACAAAGTTGATAAAAGATAAACATGGTGTATACCTTCGTACATGATTTGAATGTATATATTAATTTCCGATATCTGCTACGTGTCTTAGGATTAAATCAATGAAAAATAATGTCTTAACAAAATTGACTCTTTCGTATCAATACTATAAACACCAATTCCATCAAGATTGTTTTAAAATTCAAAATCAAGATTAATACATAGAACTTAATTATGAAATAAACAGCTCTGTAAGACTCGTCAGTGATGTTAAGGGCCTAATCATTTGCAATCAAACCGTAGTAAATATAGTAGATACTTTTCTGTACCTTATTGGAAGGAATAATGTCTTCCCACAATACAATAAAATGATAATATATTTCGTGAGGATTGAAGAACCTGTCAACAGAAAAATAATGTTCCACAGGATTCTCTTGTTAGAAAAACATGGTCAACGTTAAAATACATGATTGTTCACCATATAATTATAAGACTTTCATACTTTCACTAACATCAATCTGGCAGTACACTTTTGTGCTTTTGACATTTTGTCTAGAGAATTTACTGTACTTCCAGACCGGACTATATCACAGTTAATGAGGAAAAAACACAACCATTGTAAAATTTCAAGTGGCCTTCTATTGGTAAAAATGGTGAATTCGCTAGAGTAATCCTAAACCTTTGCTGAATTTGGAAACAACCGAGTACATGTACTCGGAAAATGAATTAATATAACGTTTACGCCTATTTTCACATCCGTTAAATACATGTGTGTGTGTGTGTTACATTTTTAATACTGAATGAAAGTTTGGTTAAACTTTAAAGTAATATCTATACCGGACTAATTTTCGCAGTGGTGATGCAAGACGATTACTAAAAATAAAAACATATTTCTTTGCTTTTGTTGTTTAATATATCTATATTGAAGCAGTCCTCGCCGTGGATTATGATTTTGATGACAAACCACTATAGAAAAATGTTCGAAATTTTCGTTCATCATAAGAATTTTTATGAGACTTCAATACAAAAAAAATGATCACACATATGAGGTAAACAACATTTTTAAAACATACTAAGTCTCCTCTTACATAAACGAAATAGTCACTGATGACGGAATGATCAATCCAGTTATCATTATTATTATTATTATTATTATTATTATTATTATTATTATTATGTAAAAGCAATACATTTTCGGAAACGTCAATCTAATAATGAATGATTGACAATACTTTAACATCATATAAACTGGTGCATTTTGACGACTTAAATGTTTTATTACAAATACAAATTACATGACATTGCTAAATACAAGTATTTAAAACTGCAAAACAATATTCACATTTTAACAAAATTGGTACAAGAATATTGTCTTAAAAGATTACTTAATTTGATATAATTTTGGACTGTCAAGAATTTTTCGTCTTACTGCTGTTTTGACTTAGTGTCAATAAAAGCGTTATATCGTTAATTGTAACATCTACTTGTAGAGAATATTTTGTGTGGTTGTAATATAATTGTCACCAGATAGCAAAAAACCTGGTGGGCACTTTCAACATATCCTCAGGTATTGGTCAGTCATCCAAATATCTTATATATTAGTATGGTTTAAGATTACTCTTTTTCCACGTTTGATGTTATAAAACTGAATGCTTGATAATTTGTCTTTTTGATAGGAACTTTATTATCAGTTCGAGAAGAACTATGGAAATGATTAAAAATGATAGATACAATGCAAAACAAATGCTGTTTCACATACTCTACTGTAAATCTTAAAAAAGAAAACAAGTTAGTACAGTCATACTTGATATAAACAACTGAATGAAATAATTCGTAAAGAACTCAAAGAAATACTTTTCGTTGATTGACTTTATATGATAAATGAAAGTGATATTCGATGTGAATGTTTCTTGCCAACTGCAACTTTGCTGGTATATATAAATATATACCAACAATGTTCATAGTTTTCTTTAATCAAAATAGTCAGTATGCCTTGGAATATGAGCTCAGAACTTATCCTGCCAGTTAACGGACACTTTCAATGTATACTATATTAATTATATATGAAAACAATTACTTTGTACTGTAACTTATATGTCATCTAGTAATCACCTGCTCCCTGATTCAAGGTAATAAAATTATCGTTATAAAAAATCATTGCAAACAATGTTAGATTTGCCAAAAAATATGGTTTATTTCTCTGACGTATTGTTTTAAATACTACAAGGTTGGCATCATTTAATACATGGTAAAGAATTTTTATACTTTAATCCGGGTTGGGTTTTATTTATTAGGAAGTGTACTTTGTATAGCTAAAACCTTGGTACCACACCACAAACGCCCTGGTCATGTCTCCAACTTGTGTAAATCGTAACTTATACCAAACGGATCGTGGAGACGCGAAAGAGGAAAGTTAATTCTAATACTGATGAATGTCTCAGGTTAAAACGTGCACAACACCTGATACCAGAAAATGCAGAAATAATGATATCAGCCGGATAACTAGTTAGTCCATAACAAGGCATACTTACGGACTAATTGATGTCTACGACATTTTTAGTGACGACGAAGGATTCGTTTCAGTACCACCTACATAAGAACTTATCAACGTAGTACCTTAGTAGGAACTGTATAGGAACTAATAAAGACAACCAAAACGATAAGTTATAAGAAGGAGACGTTTTTACGACAAACTGTGCGATATAAAAACGACCTGTACAAGAGAAAAAAAAACTACACTAACGAGTACACACGAGAAATACCTGTACAAGAACGTATCAAAACTGCCTGTAATAGAAAGTATTTTAACTACCATCTGTATAATAACTTTTATTTTTTTTATTTTGTCTTATTTCTCTAGCAGGAAGAAAAAAATACCCCAACACGGAAAAACATACACCAATATTCTAACCAAAACAACTATACAAAATCTGAAGATGAAATTATTTTTCTAGTTGATGCTAGTTTATTTACTGCCAATATAATGTATATTTGCTACAACTGCTCGCTAGAGCAAACGTCAATAGACTATCATTGTAGAAATATTAAGATAATTAATAACAGAGGTAAAGCTACAATAACTTAATTTAGATATTGACTCCAATTTTCGGCGATTTCGTGCTCATAGAACAATTGGAAACACAATAAATGATAACTTTTCATCATTTAATAATATACAATACTTTGATTGTGGGCGTCATTGGCATCTTGCCTATTTCTATCAAAGAATTTCTAGACAAACGTTGAATATCTATGCCAACTGAGCAAAAAAATAACGTCTAGTTAATATATGATAACTATGAATATAAATTCAGTAAATGTGAATTGGAATGAACCAATTTGGATTAATTTGATTGAATATTGATTAAATGATTGTCTACAGACATTTCGGTACATAAGATTCCCTGAGAGTAAAGTACACCTTAGCACGATTGGTCTCCTCGAGCTCTGATAAACTATAAGAATAATATGAAATAAAAATAAATAGTTTTGAGTTAAATTCCGGTATGTAAATGATGAGGAATCTGAATATAGCTAAACGGACTGGGTGATTGTTTAAGTTGTGATTGGGAATACATATAGACATATAGACAAATTCATTTGGAGCAGGACTCGTGTGTAGACACGCAAGATTATGATGATGTCTAAAAGTTGATATCCTCAACTATATATACACGAAAAAAGATAATCTTACCTCCTTACTGCAGCAGCCGCAGCTGACAATATCTCAGTTTTCGCAACGCCGATGAGACGATATTTGTGCTTGTCTGCAAAAGACCGTGTGAGCTGAAAACGTCTGCAGTTAAATTAAGATTCAAGATATTAATAGATTCATAGAAATGCTTTTCATTGGATGGGAGGACAGTTACTGTGAGCAACCAACGGACAATGGTGATGGAGACCGTATCAAGTTGTTCCATCATTGGCTACCAGTCAAAGTTCAGCAAACGGCTTTACTTGCACCGTGTGAAAGTTAATCTAAATTCCTCTCCTTCATTTAATTCTATAAAAATCCTTTTTAATAAAATCTTAGTGACGTATCCAAATTTAATGATTTCGTTAATATCGTAATGAGACGATTCTGTTTGGGAATGTTTGATTGTAAGTATGCTTTATTGAATACATATCTTATGTGGTGTTTTGTGGTTTTGATTTTTTTTAAATGGATCATTCTACCGTAAATTTTGTGTTCTTTATCACAAGATTTCGGGATTAACAAAGATTGATCTGCATTTTGAAATGCTGATTAACTGATTACTAATGTTCGGACTATCATATTTAATTTTGGATTATGTCTATCACTAACCAACAAAACAAAATGATGAAATAAGTAATTTCTTTGCATGATTATCAAAACCAAGGGCATATTATTTGATTAGTACAATTTATTTGACTTAATATCTTCTTCATAATTATGATACCTTTGATTTTCCATTAATTTCTTTTTAATTATAATGAAAATAATCATTATTCTGATTCTCAATTTTCTAGAGGTTAGATTTGTGTTACTCTTGTCATTATAGTTACAGATATTTAATTGTATGCCATTACATTACAACTCCAAAAATGTGAAGCAAACTTAATCATTTGGATTATTATATCCTTGTCTTGCGTTTTCTAAGACAAACATAACAGAAACAGAAACAGGCTCGATCTATACAACTGCTTTTCAATAATCACCAAGCCGCTACACACATCATTTCAAATTATTTATCTGTTATTGTTCAGTTAATGCACCTTTTATGTAAGAATATACATTTTGGAACTATGTACTAAGAAGAAAATAAACCTCCGTTTTCAATTTTACATCACAAGATGGGTTTGATGCTTTCAGTTCATTATACAACGAAACTTTTTTGTTCTATGTTTCAATTGTTTTGAAAAGAAAGAAGCTTCCATAATTTGGCATTGACTATGTTTTAAAAGCTGTCCAAAATAATCATTCCAATGACACTAAGCTATTGCTTTGATTGGGCGTTTACTCCTTACGTTACAATTACGTCGAACTTTGAAAGATATTTCTACGTTCTTATCGCAAATATGATCGCTTTGTTTTAAAACATTGAAATGTTTAATTGTATATTTGCGTCATTGAATATCCATGGAATAGATATTTTATTACTTTCCTGTGAATTTTGTAATTTATATATAAAAGTAAAAGATAGACCATGTGATTAAGGCGCAGATAAACTCATCCCAAAAGTTCGGACATCCACATTTTGCCTTGGATTATAACCATCGATTATCAAAAAAACTAGGAGCAAGCAAAGATACTCTTTGCAAGATCATCAAAATTTAAGGCATTTGATTTGATAAATACAATTTACGTGACTTAAAATTCCTATTAGAATAAAACATTTGGATATTCCGCGTTCTAAATTAAAAACATTTTCTGGTTATCAAAACATCACCATACCTGGTCTGTTTCTCAATTTTCAGGATGCAAAATTTGTGTTTCACATGTTAATTTATTTTGATAAAAAGGCACTTGTTTGTATGCATTACATGACAACAACAAAAAAGTGTTTCGTAAACTATCTTATCTAGATAAGTGTTATACATGTGCCATTAAATTTCACACCAAGATACATTTCATTATTTCATCGTATTATATAACGAAAATATATTGAAGATATTGAAAAAATATCATTATTTGGTATTGACTTAAATTGCTCAAAATAACCATTTTAATGAAATCATATTGTTATTTTGATAAGATATTTACCATACATAATCAATTTTTAAAAACATTTCTACGTTCTCGTATTTGATATTATCCGTGAGTGATTATAATGATAGACATAACTGTTGATATGATATGTTATTAACACATATTTTGCTTGAGCTATAGCATATCTTTATTTTGGAAGTCAACCGTATCAATCGATGAACAGGTAAGTTTGTTTATTTTTCACTTCGTAAATGAAGTATAAGAATTAAAAGAAGCGTCATCTTTTATTTTTTAGAAATAAAATAAATAGATAAAATAATATCTTTTTTAAAAAATAGGCGTTGAAGTAATATCCTTTGAAAAAAAGTTTTTCATGATTTTAAAAACAAATTTGTCATATCTTAAGTATGCATATAGGAAAGGAAAGTTGGAAAATATTTAACAGAAATTTCACAATATCACGTATTAATGAAAAATGACAAATTTAAAATGCATTTATTCTAAATTCCGACAGTCGATACAGCAAACCATATATCAAACGTATATATTAAAGACCAACAATCATATACTGTTTTTAAAAATGGCCATGGAAGAACCAATATTTGTTTAGCAAAGCAAACTTATATCTTTTAATAATATCAGTTGAAAATATGACGTCATAGGATTTCTTCGATGATAACACTACATCAGACATTAATTGTAAAATCAAAACTATAACTTGTATATCTCAACCATAAAGTAACGGGTTAAGAGAAAGAAATCGACACCAATCATTTGTCTTACCACTGACCATTTATGAGCCCTCCTTTTTCAAAATTAAGAACTCTTCTATTGATATTGTTGTTAACTGACGGATTAAAGTTATTTCTGCAATCTGTAATAAGATAATTGTATATATATATATATATATATATAATTATAGCGTTTGTCGGCGTCTTATTTAGTCATTAATATTAAGATTTCAAAATGGTATTTTATATTTATTTACAACTTTCAGGAATTTTAGACTTATATTCTGAGTATATATTAAGGAATATGAAACTGATTCTATCTGAAGCAATTCAGTAGTCTTTATATCAATGATTAGGATAAAATGTAGTGTGTTTTATAACATGAGAGACATACAATGAATATCATCATTGTTGTCGTGCTCCAGATACACATCTCTCAATCTTTAAAACAATTCTTATTGAATCAACTAACCAACAAAATAAAACACACAGACATTTGGACACCTCTAACCAGATCTGATATATATATACATTCATAGAAGGAATGTAATCAATTCAGTAACTTTAATTGGAGGTATGTCACAAGGATGAGAAACATATGAAGGTTGATGGGGTGCAAGGGAAAGGAGTAGGGAGGTACCCTGTGTCAGCGGAAAGAAGACAAAACAGACTGCATGAAACACTATATCTAAGTGTATATTGCAAAAATTCAATGAAAACTAAGTATTTGTCTAAAATGTTGAAGGCGATAAATTGAAAAGAATTGATTAAACAAAAATATCTACCCATGAAAATGAGAAATCCTTTATGCTTTTATTTCAAGTTCGAATTAGTCATGAAAACCACATCCAAACAATTTTTTCTATTCAAATATCACACGCGTTGTTTTGTAAATAGCTGCCAAGCAAGACATGATGACTTCCACGTCATGCCAGTGGATTGTTTTCGTGAAGTAATCACAAGTATAAACATATTACCACCATCAGATTAATATATCATAAATCTAACATTTAATACAATAATAACATAATGAAAGACATGTTTTATAATACTGTCGTCATATATTTAAAACATAAAAATGACCAGCAACAAGATACATATCATATGATATATAAAATATGTTCAGCTTTATTAGAGAGGACTGTATAGAAGGCACACAGGTGTATAGCACAATTTAATACTTAATACAAATTTGGATAAGGAACAGTAGAGAAAAAAGAAATAAACTTATGAGACACTCTAAATATTTACATCATTTCATATTTGTAATAACTGGATATGCAGAGCAACAATTAATATCATTTGGTTCATGTATCAATAAATGACGGTTGAGGTTTTCTTTTAAGATAGATATATCCACATGATATTCTACATATCTAAATGTATATATCCTCAGTATTAGGATATCATATATGGAATTTGCCACAAACATATTTAACAAGAAATGCAATAAATGTAATAATTTATACAACTTTACCAATCTGAGGTCGTCATAAGATATCGTTATTACACATATGTAAAGCATTACTTATTTGGATCTCATCACAACTATAGTCAAAACCTCAGGTCATTACATCCGAATAAACACAAAATATCACGTCTTGTTGCTCTGCAATAAAAGTGTTTTCTTCCAGAGTGTAGTGATATGTTTTGTCATTTATATTTTCAATGCTTTGACAAACGTTAAATATCTGATTGATATATTATGCGTACGCATTCTTCCAACAAACATTCGTTAGGAATTTTGATATCTTGTATATGCTTATTAATCATAGTTCTGTAGTGTATTCCCAGCATGATTTCTTCTGCCATGGTGCTATCTCAGCTTATATCTTTCAATTGATTTATAACCTGTATAAGTATATAAAACAAAACGATTGTGATGAAAATACACATATCTCGAACGCTTAATATCAATTTCTATCATCAAGATGCAAAATGCAAAGAAAAAATCCTCATCTTCGCAAAATATGCTTACAGCTCATTTTGTTTTATAATAAAATACCTTAAAGACAAAAAGATGAAAAAAAGAAGAAATACACAAAGTACTGTAACTTGGTACATCTTAACAATGAGTTGTCAAATCATTAAATTCAATTTGGAGAATTAAGGATTATTTTTGATTATGCAAAAAGCAATTCGCACATCTATCACGTGTCCACACTAATTATGATTATTAAATACAGAGTAATTATTAATAAGGTGACATCAAAATCAAATGGGTATCGTGAAGGAAACCCTTCATTAGGTTAGAAAATCTAATACACTTCAAACCTCAAAATTCTATTGACGATTCCTTTGTTGTAATTTAAACATGTAGT